TTGCAAGGCCGAAGATAGGCCCATGATTAAACAATGGACATGACCATTTAAATTATATTGCTTTATTAATTCCTATGCGGTACAGCTGTCTTGGTGGTAGACCCTTGCCAGAGTAACAGGGCTCGGCCAGCTCACATTGGTTCGAGACCACCCTGTTTTTCTCTCCACGTCAGACTTTTCCTGAGGACCAAGCACCTACCCCAATGCCATCACAGGAACACCGGATTAGAAAGGGGTGGGATCTAGGGGAGATGAAGCCTCACAGAAGACACCTGGACACTGAGATCTGCACCCATCTCATTGTACCCCACTACAGTCCGGTACCACCTCCTTATATCCTTTTCACTAACAGCAAGTTGTGGCAGGCAAGATACAGATAAGAGGGCTAAACACACATTGAGAGTGCAACACCTTGGCCCCACCCTGGTGAGTCTCTTTGGTCCAGGTCCCACTACAAGGGGTAAAACAACATGAATATAAATTGTACCAAAACCTAGTCGTACCTCATCACTGCTCCCTACAGCCACTGTCTGTGCTTCTCAAATGTGGGAAATCTAGAGTGGAGAGCTAGAGGTCCTGATGCACGGAGAGACAGATCCTAAAAAGAGTCTCCTGCCCCCAGAGGTTGAGTAAGGGGTAAGAGTATGAGTTACAAGTGGTGAATAAGAAGATACTGGGGACTGGGAGAAAGGGAAATGTTTGGCAATCATGCAGCTTGCCCTGCAGGGGTCCTACACTACCCTGTGCCTTCTTATTATTCCCTGTATACCTGAAGGACTTTTTGTTGTCCTTAATTTTTGTCACCAGCCTAAATTCAAATCCTCCTTTGGCCTTCCTGATTCCCTCCAAGTGCAAGCCAGGGAGGTCTACTCCTCCTTGGTAGCTACCCCCTGTTTCCACAGCCTACATACCTCTTTCTTTGCCCGTAGGCTTTCCTGGACTTCCCTGTTCAGCCAAAAGGGCTTCTTGACCCTTTTGCCCCCTTTTATGCAATGGGATTGTCTCCTGTGCTCGCAGAATCACTCCCTTGAGGAACGACCACCCTTCCTGGACCCCCATTTCACCAATGCTCTTGAGCTTTAACACCTAACTGATCTCCTGAGCACACTGAGGTTAGCCTTTCTGAAGTCTAGCATTTCAGCCCTGCTGATTAGTTTACCCACCCTTCACTAGATAATGAATTCAATCGATCAATAGTCATTAGCCCCTAGGTTACCTTGTATCTGCAGATTACCCACTAGGTCATCCCCTGTAGCTAACACCAAGTCCAGCAAGACATTTCCCCTAGTGGGATCATATACCTCCTGAGTTAGGTGGAGGTCCTGTATGCAGGTTAAAAACCTGCGTGAGCAGTTAGATTTGGCTGACTGCTCCTGCCAGCAGATGTCAGGGTAGTTTAGGTCACCCATGACAACCATCTCTCTCGACCGTACGGTCTCTGAGAGCTGTCTGGAGAATTCCAGGTCTAGCTCATCCTCCTGGTGTGGCAGTCTATAGTAGACCCCAACTACCAAGTCCCTTTCCCCCCAACCCCCTTGTGTCCTGACCCACAGTACCTTGGTTTGGCCCTCCTCTGATCCCATCTGGATTATAGAGGATGTATATTGTTTCTTAACATAGAGAGCAACACCTTCCCTTCCCCCCCACCTCTATCCCATCTGTACAACCTGTAACCCTCAATGTCTACTGCCCACTCGCGCGTAGGGTCCCACCAGGTTTCAGTTAGTCCAGATGGTCCTACTTTAAACAGAGGGTTGGACTAGATGACCTCCTGAGGCCCCTTCCAACCCTAATTTTCTATGATTTTAAAACTCTCCATTAATCCTGTCATTTAATTGTAAGAAGATTTTAAAATAAAGAAATCGAGTTGCATCTAGCCACATAACTGTTGCAAAAATGGAACAATTATAATTTTGGCCAGTTTTTTATAAATTGGAAATTCTGTTCTTTGAACATTACACTAATCACTGTTTAAGTTTCTTACTAGTGTTTATTAAATAGACATCAACTTTTTAATTCTAGACAAAATAATCTCCATTACTGCATTAACTGGGGCTGACCCACATATGGTTAACTGGCAACACAGAACTGCTAACACAGCAACTCCCCCTCCTCTTTCAAATGCAATCTCTGGCTGTGAACTTTCAACTGCTTTAAAAGTACTTTGTTAATAAGGGAATTGAAGGGTGTTTTTTCAGGCTCTTATAAATAGTGAGAGATTTCCTCATCTCAAAAGAACAAAAACTTCTGTATAACACTTTAATAAAAGAGACTGTACAACTGAAATGAAGTGAGGTTGATTGTTCAGTGTTGTACAGTATTTTCACACCTCACGAACAATAAGTTTACCCTGACAACATTTCTCCGAGTCAGAAAAATGATTCCTGTTATACTAAAGAAAGACTAGGCCTCGATAGAGATTAAGCAGTTTGCTTATTGTCACACAGGAACTCTGCGATCCAACAAGAAACAAACTCACGTCTCCCAAGTGTAGTCGAGCTCCTGAAGATTGCCTTCCCTGTAGCCTCTGCCCCTCATTTTGCAAAGTAACATGCGGCTCCTGTAAGATGTTAAGGCCTAGGGCCTTCTGAAAGAGCCTACTTTTTGCTGCAGTTTCTGCAAAAGCAGTAGTCTTCAAATAACCCTTTAAGACTGTAATAAATAATTATTCTTATATTGTTTCACAACAACTGACTTTTATCTATAGGGTAACAGATTTTAGACCACCGTGTATTAAAAAAAGTTGTACGATACTAACAGAGCTTAAAACAGCATTGAGTTAACTAACACAGACAGGATGTCTGGACTTAACCACAATAAGGAAGAAAGAAGAAAACATATATAGAACAAATCATAACATCACAGTTAAGACTGATCATAGACTAACACGATATCTGAAGTAGCATAAGTTAAGGTCATGACAGGGATCATTGTATGTCTAGGCTAGCCACCAAAGGGAATATCTATATTTGAAATACAACAAGTCTAGGCTGGCCACAACAGGCCCCTTTTTGATCTGGAAACAGCCTGCATATGATTATTACATGCTTTCTAACTTGCTGACTATGCATAAGGACAGGTAGGCAAGAGGGAAATAGAAGAAATAAATTGAGAAAACCTCAAGAAACGTGAAAACTGGACATGAACAAGGGCCAACTGAAGAGGCAGTAGAATTTGATTGGATAATGGCAAACCAAGGAACTGTGAGGTATAAAAGCAACTCAGGTACATGACACGGAAGACACCACTGCGTAGACGCACAAAAGCCCCCTTACCTGACAACTCAGCCTGGCGACAGACGTCACCAAGCAGCAGACTACTCATCCTATATGTAACGTTATCTGATAGTTTTGCTTTGTTTAATCTGTAAGTAAATCAATGTATTCTGCATGACTGGAATGGTCAGAATTCCCACAGTTATTGCTGGTGCCCCAGCCACCTCAATTCTGCCTGCAGTCTGGGTGTAACACTCAACTGAAAGAACTTACTCTCCTCTGCAGCAGTGTAGATTGTTCCTGCAAGCTTGGGATGAGGCTCGCTCGTCTTGGCAGCTATCACAACGTTTGCACCATCCTTTGCAGCTTTCAAAGCAATTGCTTTACCAATGCCACGGCTTGCACCAGTGATAAAGAGAGTACATCCTGCTAATTTCCTAAAGTCAGGAGAGAGGGAGGAAAAAAAGGATTTTTTTTTTTTTTTTTTTTTTACTACCATGAGACAAAAAATAACAAGTCACTTAACGGAAAAAAATTAGATGTAATAACTAGGTTACAAGCTAATAACTGATTAAAAAATGAACACCTTTGAAATGAATACAGTAGTGATTCTCAAAAATAGTGCGGCATCAACCTCGGATGTGCAAAGGGGTACGCACTGTTATAAATTAATTTTTGAAATGGGCTGCTACTAAACTAAGAAGAGTTATGGAGGGGTGCTTTGAGTCTAAGAAGCCTGAGAATTACTGCCTTACCTCATGGCTTTAAGCATGTTATTCCTCTATCCCACTGACCTCAAAAAAAACACATACCTTCACTTTCAGTACCCTTTATTGCACATACCTATGCTGTCTCTCATCTCTTCTATCAGGGCTGTCCAAGTGCCAAGAACTGAGGACGACAGCAGCATTAGCCACAATGCCCCCAAGCCTCACACCCCACAGATGCTCCCCCCACCACTGCACTGCATGTCCATGGCCGTCCTCACCACTAAACCATGTGCCCATGACTATCCCCTGACCAGTGCACCACATGCCTGGGACTGCCTGCATACCCCATACCCACTGTAGCACTGCATGCCCCAGGCTTGCCCTCTGCTCTGGCAGCTGCAATTTAATCCCATGCAGGCAGCAGGTGGCCCACGGGCCTGTCTTATATTTTCAGGATGCCTGGATCAGACTCTTATTAGATTTTAGCAAGCAACAACTTCCATACTTTCTATTATGTTTCTCCCTCACATTTTCAGGGAAGTTCCCTGAAAATGTTTACATTGTCCTCCTTCAGATGTTTTCTAAAATTTTATGTTGTGTTTGGGAGAGGGCAGGACACCCACCTGGGGGGCAGTGGGACATGCCATGGGCCAGACGGTACCTATGCCAGGAGCAACGGAGGGACCCACCATGGGTCAGACAAAGTCTCTCTGTGGGCCAGATCTGGCCCGGAGGCTGTATTTTGCCCACCCCTGGTTTAAGTCTACTGGCTACTTATCATGCTTAATATTATCATACTTATCATGCTCAATATTATCTCACTGGCCCTTTGTAAGCTGACTTACATCAATCTCTTACCTTCTGTCTTATACTTCAGCTGCAAGCATTTTGGGGACCTTTTTTTTCTGTGTTTATACAGTGCTATGAATGATGGTGGCATGGGACAGAGCTCAGAATTTATAGAATTAAAAAACCAAGACACTGAGATTTCTTTTATGTTGCCTGAACAAGCTTTTAAGCCTGTTCTGGTCTAAAAAGCCTATTTAACTGCTGTTGTGAAATTCCATTTTTATTTCTTAATCATTTTCATATCAAGTGTATTCTGTTTGCAAGGAAATAGATGCTGATTAACTGCCTGCCCTACAAACAGCTTTCTATCTGTGAGTCAGTCTCAGATCTTGCCTTTTCATGCATCAATGATGATAAAAATTCCATAAAACAAATCAGCAACACTATTTTTTAAACTATGAGAAACCATCATACACTACTGTTGCTAATGCATGGAAATGAACGCATTCCAACTATCATACTCTTGGCCTTGCAGTGTGGTGAACAAAAGCAGAAATTATTTCCAAGTTCAGACCCTATGCATGCATGATGTTGAACTCTGAAATTCAGGTGCCATTTACATACAATGATTTTTCAGAGGTGAGTCACAAATTATTCAGAAATGAGGTTTCTTTAAGATTAATCATTTTCATTGCAAAATCTAGCAGGTATAAACATGCCAGTTGGTCAACTGCAAAGAATGCTCCGTCTCTGTGTTCTCTCAAGCTCAGTCCTGCTCCCTCTGCCTGTTGCTAAGGTTCTCTCCTGACAGCAACCTTGGAACCCATCCGCTGCCAACAACAGAGGATCATAGGTCCACGATGCTTCTGCCCCAGCCCCAACATGCAGTGGCTTTCCTTGTTGGAGCCAAATCAAGTTACAAAACTATTAGGAATAAAAATGAGGCCCTCCTGATTCTTTCAAACCTAGGAAAGAGACAGCAAAGGCTTGCAGCGCTCTAAGATTGCCCAATGCAATGCTGTCAACTGCTTCTAAAACTATCCCAAACTTTAGCCCTTTGGCCTGACAACTTTCACAATAGAGGTCAGCCACATCAGAAAAATTTTCTGGCAAGAGGTTAAACATTTCAGAGCAGAAACGCTGTGGACATTTTAACTCTCCCTGCACCTGAAGAAGGGTGTTTGTGCCCAAAAGCTTGCAAAGAGCAATTTTTCCAACTAGTAGTTGGTCTAATAGAAGACATCACATGGACCCAAAGAACCCTGTTTACTTTTTGAACACAACTCTTCTATGAGCTCTTTGAAAATGTCTCTCCTTTTTTTCCCCTCTTATCACCTCCCTGCTCTTCTCCCTCCTCCTCCAGATCAGAGACCAGACCCAGATCCTGCTTTGGCAGCACTTTTCCTTTTTTGGCCCAGCCCCCTTCTCTCCTTTCCTTTTATCAAGATCCTTCCTTGGCTTGTCTTTGTCCTTCTGAGTTTCCATACCCTTTTTTTCCACCTGCTTTCTAGGGCTTTTTTTCTTCTAGTCCTTTTTTTCTTCGTCTCACCTTCCACATCCTGAACTAGTCGCTCTCTGAAGGGCAGTGCTAGAGGGAAATGTGCTGCTGTGCCCCTGGCAAGGGCTCTGCAGGGCAGTGGGGTGTACCAAGGAGGTGCCCGGGGGCAGTGGGGTGTGCGCAGGGGTCCCCCTTCACTGAAGCTGCAGATGGGGGGAATGGGAGCGCAGGAGGACAGGTAGTCCACCTGGGAGTGGTGCCTCCTGGGATACCGGAGGACTGCGAACTGTTTCCCTACCCGCCAGTCCCGGCCCCAGGCGCTGCCCGAGTCCCCCGCAGGTGTCGGAGGAGCGCACCGCGCATGCGCGGCCAGGATAACACTGGGTGGAGAGCTAGAAATGCGGCGCGGACCGGCGCTTACCCCGTGTTGGGCAGCATGACCGCTATCGGCAGGCGGGTGGGCCTCGAACGAGACGAGAGCCCCGCGGACGCGGCGGGGCGAGGGAAGGAGGGAGGGGGGCAAAGAGCGATCCTCCCACACGCTCCAACGAGTGCGCGGCACTGGGGGAAAGGTCACAACAATGGCGGCCGGGTAGCCACGCCCCCTTAATGACCTCCGGTCCCGCCCCCTGAGCCCCTCTCTCCCAGTGGCAACCAGCGCCCTAGCGGTCGCGTTCTGGGACACGTGCCCTGGTGTGGGCGGGGCTGAGCCGCGGGGGCGGGGCGGGGCGTCTGACGTCCTGGGGGTAAGGGCGGGCTGTGCTGGGGCAGGCTATGGAGGGATTTAACCAACTGGTTAGTTAGTTTGTAGATCTGTTCAGTTTCTCGTTTCAGTTTCTCTCCCCAGATCTGCTGCCTTGAGAGGGAAGAGGTGTGTGACCAGGCACTGGCTGCCCCTTTGGAATAGGCTTGTACTCAGCCATTTCCGAGCATCTAGAGCAGTGGGTCTCAACCTTTGTTGTACCAGCACCCATTTGTAAACATAGACGGCCAGTCCTGACCCAGTGCCCCTCACTCCCAGCCCGCTGCCCCCAGGCCCTGCCTGCCCAGTGTGTGGGGTGCGGCCATGGAGACCCAGGCAGCCCCTGGCAGGCTGGAGCCTGGGCAGCCTACAAGGGAAAAACTGCCATTTCCCATGTTTTTTCCCTTTAAAGGAGAATCCGTTTTTAAAGATTGTTTGTGACCCTTTCATCTGTTCTTGCAACCCACTTTTGGGTTGTGAGAGATATGATGTTTGAGAGCAGGCCCAAAAGCCCACAAAGAAAAATACCATTAAGAGGCCACAAACAGGATAATCATAAGC